CCCCGTGGGATTGCGGACCACAAAGTAATTCCGTTTCCAGGCCGGGATCCTGTTGGGCAGTTCGTGCAGAAGCTTATAGCCCAGGCAAGGGGATAGGTAGTAGGTCCGCCTATGCTCGTGAAGAACACAAGAAGAGTTCTTCTTGATAGACAAAATGGAAGAAAAAATCTCGAGGTTAAGAGGGAGACAGTACTCATGAAAAAGCGAAATGGTCCTTACTACATTACGAATAGAGTTCGGGTGTAACTGATCTATGGTGATGTTAAAGAGCTTCAGGACCTCTACAATCAAAGGGTGTAAGGGTAGACGAAGACCAGCCACGAACTTCTCTTCAAAAATCATGATCTCGTTGTGATCGTGTTCCTAAGGGAAGTTACCTATGGGGAGACTATAAGAGAGTTCTCTCGGGAGGTTATACCGAAGTACTAAAGCTCGAAGCCTGTCCGAGGTCATTACTAAAGGGCCAAAGTTGTCGGGCACCCAACCTTGATGAGAGGTGCATGCCAGATTACCCGAGGCCTCACGAGCCTCCTGGGGTGGCTGCCCCTCGGGAAGGCCACAGACTGCCCCTAAACCCGAAGTAGCCTCATCTCGGCTATTGACCTGGGTCGAGGTACCCCCTCGGCCTCATCCAAGAGACTGTCAAAACTAAAAGAAGACGTTGACAAGCATAACTGAATTAGAAAAGCTGAGGAAGAGTCACCAAAGAAGGATGATTGTACTGAAAGAAAATGGCGATGGTCAACCGCACTGCAAAGAGACGTTACACCCAACTAACATGATAACGGATCATGCCACAGCAGGGATCCAGGACCAACCCCACCAAACACGTCAGGGCACCAGTATATAAAGACTTCAACCCCCCTAGGGGCCAAGATACATGTGTAATCTCTGCCTTCTAGCTCTCTCTCTCTTGCATCCTTAAAGTTATTCTCTAGCTCGCAACTAAGTGCTAACTTAAGCATCAGAGCGTCCTCGTCGGGTGAACCACCTCGGGCTCTCAGATTCTCTATGCAGGTTACTCAAGCCCGTCATCTGCTAGGAGCCAAGTCATCTCCGGCTAGGAGCAGCCGGATTGCGCTTCATCAGTAAGCAACAGTTCAACATTCCTGCTTGCTTATTACCTGCTTAACCAAACAGGATCAGAAGTCTAGGATCAGACTCTTGGAGCAAATAAGAAATCTATTCATAGGGAACATCTTAAAACATTAACCAGAGAAATGCATTTCTTGTAGTACTATCATCTAGTGAAAGGATTTTTTTTTTTTATTTGAAGAAAAACTGGTGTCTGTTTGGTTCGAGAGAATAGAACACTGGAATCGGAATCGGAATGAATCATTCCATTTTCAGATGTTTGGTGGAACAGAATGGGAATGAGAAGGCAGAATGCCATTCCCCCATATGGGGGAATGACCATTCCCGACCCCTCCCCCGGAATGGGATTCACATTCTGCAGTTACGGACGCCATCAATGCTATTTTTGGGAATGTGATTCTTTTGCTTATGTCATCAACGCCAAAATTGTTGCTTATGTCAATGTGACTTTGTTTTTTCTTTTTAATGTGCTTGCTCACCACCTAGAGGTGTAAATCGGGATGTACCGTGATAAACTTGGACCGACCCAGCATGACGATCCATGGGCTGTGCCAAGCCTGGGGTTTTAGGTCCTTGGGCTGGCATAACACGGCACGATCGAGCGGGCCCATGGGTGGCCCGGCCCAACATAGCCCATATATATTATTTATATATTATATATTTATATATATTTAAATAATATTATATAAATTATACTTATATAATAATATATAGTATATAATATATAATATTTTAATAAAATAAATATTTTTTTCATTTTATTGTACTAATTTATTTAATTGTTGTATATATGAGCAATTATATAAACAAAACTCATATAAAATTAAAATTTTAAGTTCTTTTTCAAATTTTTAAATAAATAGCTTTGGCCCGATGCATGGCCCGACTTGGCCCAAGGCTCAGCCCACAGGCCAGCTTGACCCACGGCACGGCACGGGCCTGCATGGGCCTGGGCCGACTGTGCCGGCCAACCCCAAATTTTTCACTGGAGAGGGTGGCACAGCCCACACTTTGCGCGAGCCGCCCACGGGCCGTGCCATGCCGGCCCGACACGACCCACTTTACACCTCTATCACCACCTAATGTGTATGCATTGTATTTGATGCACAAAATAATTCTAGCCTCTTAATGAACCAAACAACATCAATCGAAATCCGATTTTGATTCTTGTCTGAACCAAATAGGTAGGGGAATAGACCATGCCGATTCTGATTCCAAGGGATTTCCATTCCGATTCCGACTCATGTCTGAACCAAAAGGTAGGGGGTATAGACGATTCTGATTCCAATTCCAAGGGATTTCCATTCCCATTCCGATTCCTATTCCGCTCACGAACCAAACAGACCCTTAAATGTATGTTAAGACTTAAGAGGAACAAAAAAAAACATAATCTTGTCTCTACTCTCGTTTTGTGTAAGCGATCAAATGCATTTATTGGAAAAGCAGAGCGGAATAGTATATAATTACTTATTCCTTGAGTATTCATCGAAACATATAAAAAAGGAAATAAAAAGAAACTCTTCATTTTCCATAGGAATTACCTCAAAACGTTAAATAGAAGAAAATTCTTTGAAGTTAATATATGCCTCAAATCACAATGTCTCCTCTAAGGAAATGTTTGGTTTAAAGGAAAAGGTAGGGAAACATAAGGAAACCTATATAAGGTTTGTAAAGGTTTCCTTACTTTTTCCTTCATAACAAACACAAACTAAAAGAAAGCATCCAATCTAGAAAAGCATGATATAAGAAAGGTTTAAAATTTCGATACGGTACACCCAAAACAAGATGTATCGTATCATATCTTTTAAAAATTGATATAGTACGCATGAAAATCGAACATTTTATATAATGTTTATTTATTTTATATAATGTTGGAAATGAATAATAAATAATAATTATTTAAACAATAAATAATTATTAATTATATTTTCACATAAAGGTTGTATTAATGCATATTTTATGATTGGATAAGAGAATTGTGTTTTTCTCGTCCCATAAAACACAACTCTTCGTATTCCTATGGAAAGGAATAAGGATTTTGCTTTTGATTTGCCAACTAGGACCTGTCATACATTTATTGGGGAAAGCTTACTTACCAACCCAAATAACAAAACCATTTCCTCTTGAAAAAGTAGCTTGACCATTAACTAGTGGTATCTTCCTTTTAGAAAGAAAATGAATAGTTATAGTTTTGAAATTAATTTCTTCCATTCAGTATAGATATATTTATGTTTACAATATCATGGTGATACTTGAGCTTCTCTGAAATCCTAAATGTACAATTTAAATGTAGAAGGGTAGACAACGGACAAAAGTAGATAAATATAATGATAGGATTTGTAACTAGGGGTAGGGGCTTGGAAGGCTTAAACTGGGGTACCGTGTCAAGCTTGGGAAGGCATCTCTCTCAAACAAAGAAATGTACATACTTTTCTCAAGTGAGTCAGTCTCTAATAATTCCTGGTTAAAGACTCTTAAGCCTATAGTGGTAGTCCAAAAAATCATGAACTCATCATAAAACAAATTATACAAAGCAAGCTAAATTGTGTTAGAAGACACAAATAAAGAGTGGTACATTGATAAGAAAAATCAAATGAAAGCCAAGTTATCAAAGAAAAATAAGATCATCCAAAATTCAAGAAAAAACCTATAGGTCAATTTCATAATAGTTTTATTATAATTTTAAGCTCTGAGGAAAAGTATAATTTTTATTCTCAGAACGGGTCATTCGTTTTCTTATTTTTTAATTGGGAATTGTCCAAGTAACCAGTTTCATTTTACCCCAATCCCGGTCTCTAGCAAAAAACCATTCAATCGGTCAACGCCCCATTGACCTGAGTGGTTGAATCGTTAACCCGTTGACCCATTCAATGGTTTTTAGCCATTTTTTTTTAATTTTTATTGTCAGAACGGGCTGTCTATTTAAACCAAATGGTTGAACCATCGATCAAAAAAACCGGTGATAAGAACGGTTCCATTTTCATATCGTATGAGTCACGTATTCGAATAACACAACATTATGGTGTTTAAAACCGACCTGGAGACCAAAACGGTCAGAATCTGGTTTTTTTATAATTGAAACCCTCTTTATAATTGAAACTTAAACAGCAGAAGGTTGGAGATCGAGAATCCAATGAGTTCCAAGTATTTCCAATTCCCAATACGTTTAGGTTTTCCTTATTCATGATTTTTTTATTTTTAATTATTTTGATACAAATAATAAAACAATAGAAAACTTCTAATTGAACAAAAACTTTAAGATGAAAGACAAATTAGCTGGGACAGTTGTCACATTGTTATTAGGTGCTTAGTTTGCTAAGTTAACGTGCATACTACATCCGGACCCCGGACGGTGAGGATAAATTTACCTTGACCCAGGTGTAGTGATGCAGGCAGGGATACGGTTGTTTTCTACATTATGTGCCTAATGGCCACTTTGGTTAGACGTTAAGATGGCTTTATGAATGTTTTTGTTTCCGAAACCACCACATCAAATCAGTAGAAAAATTGAAACATGTTATTGAACATTCTTTTTGTTTTGAAGATTAAAAGCAAGTTGGTTTTGTTTTTGAAAAAAAAAAAACCATTAATGTTTTTGGATTGTAAAAGTAAAACTATATATATATGATTAACTAAACACGACAAGAGCTAATCAGATGAAAAAATAAAAATGTTTTTAAACAATATATTCAAGAACATGTATTATTTATTTCAGTTTTGGAAAAAAAGTACATGCATGTTTTCTGTATTTTTCTTTTTCATTTATCTTAAAACCAGATGCTTTTGTTTTCTTTTTTTTTTTTCTTTAACTCAGTAAAAGAAAACCAATTTACATTGAAGAACACAATAATAACCTATTCATGGGGAGCTTTTAATTGCATCCCACACGAAAGAAATATCTTGCCTTAAATATAACCTGGAAAGTGGAATCCAGAGCTAGAAGCCGGCCATCTTCCATGGCGTCGTCCATTCTATTGGAAATAGTTGCTTCCTGGAGCATTTTGGTAGTCTTTGTAGTATCAGGATCTGAGCCATCGGGAGAAGCTCAGTCTCTTCTCAACTGGAAAGCCAGCCTTTCTACTTATTCACAGTTAGACTCATGGAACAATAATACACACTCAAGCCCATGTCAGTGGTATGGCATATCTTGCAACAAGGCAGGAAGCGTTACAAGTATATCCTTGTCAAGTTCCTTCTTGAAAGGTAAGCTTGACAATCTGAATTTTTCGTCTTTTCCAAATCTTGCCCATCTTGTTCTCAGCTATAATCTATTGGAAGGAGCCATTCCAACTGACATCGCTTCTCTTTCAAAACTAACCCACCTTGACCTATCTATCAACTATCTTTCTGGTACTCTACCTCGTTCTCTATGCAATCTCACCCATATTTTAGAATTTGATGTCCGTTGGAATGACTTAACAGGGGATATAGATTCTAATTTGTTTAGAAACTGGCCGAAGCTTACCTACCTTGACTTGTCTATGAACCATCTTTCTGGTATCCTACCTCTTTCTCTAGCTAATCTCACCCAAATTTCACGACTCTATTTATACAAAAATGTACTAACAGGGGAATTAGATCCAAATTTATTTGGGAAGTGGAAGAAACTATTTGACCTTCAACTCCAATCCAATCAGTTCACTGGCAGTATTCCTCGTGAAATTGGTACCTTGACCAATCTAAAGCACCTTGATCTCTCAGAAAACAAGTTAAGTGGATCAATCCCAAAGCAACTGGGTAATTGCTCTTCTTTAACCAGCCTTCAACTCCAATCCAATCAGTTCACTGGCAGTATTCCTCGTGAAATTGGTACCTTGACCAATCTAAAGCACCTTGATCTCTCAGAAAACAAGTTAAGTGGATCAATCCCAAAGCAACTGGGTAATTGCTCTTCTTTAACCAGCCTTCTACTCCAATCCAATCAGTTCACTGGGAGTATTCCTCGTGAAATTGGTATCTTGACCAATCTAAATTACCTTAATCTCTCGGAAAACAAGTTAAGTGGATCAATCCCTGAGCAACTTGGTAACTGCTCTACTTTGTGGGAACTTTCTTTTGCACATAACAATTTGACTGGTAAGATTCCATTGCAGATTTGTAACCTAAAACACCTCGCAACTCTAGACTTGAAAAATAACTCAATTGATGGAAGGATACCCATAGAACTGGGCAGGCTACAATTAGATTACCTTGATCTCTCCTACAACAAGCTTTATGGTACCATACCGCCCAACCTTTTTGGGAGGTGTATATTCATTTCTTTGTCATACAATAATCTGAAAGGTTCCCTGTCCAATAATGAAGGTTGTATCTTGAAAGAAAAAGGTTTATCTAGAAGAAAGAAAATTCTCATAATCTCATCAGCTGTTCTGTGTTGTCTTTTTGGTGCATTAATGGTTGCCCGATTTACATTCTTGTACTGGAAGAAGAAAGGAGGTATGAAGAGAAAGGCAAGAGCAGGAAAGCATGGAGATCTATTTTCCATATGGAACTTTGATGTGAACACAGCATATAAACACATCATTAAAGCAACGAAGAACTTTGATTCTAAATTCTGCATTGGCTCTGGTTCCTGTGGAACCGTTTATAAAGCTGCGGTGCAGCCAGGGAAAGTAGTAGCTGTGAAGAAACTCCATTCCATGAAAAGCCAGGAGATCGTTGATGACACAAGTCTTAGGAATGAGGCATCTATGCTGGGCACAATACGGCATCGAAACATTGTGAAGTTACATGCTTTTTGTGAACATCCAAAATGCAAATTCTTGATTTACGAGTATATTGAAAGAGGAAGCTTAGCTGCTATGTTACATAATGATGTAGAAGCTGCAGCATTGGATTGGGTTAAGAGGTTAAACATCATTAAAGGTGTGGCTCATGCTTTATTTTACATGCATCATGGTTGCAGTCCACCTATAGTTCATCGAGATATGTCAAGCAAGAACATTTTGCTGGATTCAGAATTTGAGGCTCGTGTTTCTGACTTTGGTACTGCTAGACTGCTAAATCCTTACTCATCCAACCGATCTATTCTTGTAGGCACTTATGGATACATTGCTCCAGGTAATTAAGTTGGTTTACTCCTGTTTTCTTTCTTTTGCTTCTGCTATTAGATTTTAGATTGGAGAATATCAGTACTAACATTAGACTCATGATAAAACAGAGCTGACAATGGATTGGGTTCAGTGCTAAACCTACAATTAAATGACCCGTTGACATAATAGAAATAAAACATTTAGGGGGCCTGTTCGTTTGCTTTGAAGTCTGACATCTGAAAGTGTAACAATTACATTAAGAGGTATACTGGTATTGATGAACTTTTCTTTCCTCTAAACATGCAGAGAATTTGTTCTGAATTCTGAAAATTGTCAAACCATATTTGAGAGTTTTTGTTTATCTTTTTGGGTAGAGAAAGTCGATAAGAATTAAGAAGAAATGAACAGGCCTAGCCTTGAGTATAGGGTACTATTTATGTGGGATGGATTGGATTGGGTCCATGTTGACTTAGGGTCAGGTCAGGTGCGGGTAGGTCCATGTTGACTTAGGGTTGAGCCAAACCCAACTCACTGACATCTCTATATATGTATGTCTATCTACAAAATTGTGCAAAGCATATGTAAATGTAATTATAATTCCCACCCTGTCATAATGGAATCCAGAATTCCTACCGACTTTCTCTACCCACTCCCTCCCTACCTACACTACAATGCAGTCGCCCATCTTACATACAAGATGGCAATGTGTGGCTGCAATTTAAGGCAGTAACTGAGTACAGAGTTGTGGACAAAAAATCTGGAGTGGTCATAATTGGGATTCAAAATGTAGGGCTAGACCCTGTAGAATATGGCAGGATAAGCTTGGATCTATTGGGTTGGATTGGATACTAATCAGTAATTACCTCCCAAAAGGCAGGTAGAATATAGCACCTCAGAAAAAATCTTGATTGTTTTCTGAATATATAGGTCATCATCTACGGATCTGAATGTCTTTTTGAACTCAGATCGTTGAGCTTGTCTTATTTATTTTGCAGAGCTCGCATACACCATGGCTGTGACTGAAAAATGCGATGTTTATAGTTTTGGGGTGGTGGTGCTCGAGACTATAATGGGGAGGCACCCAGGAGAACTCATCAGTTCATTGTCGTCATTGGTTGCAAGGGATCTACTGGTAAAGGATGTGTTGGACCCACGTCTAATGCCTCCTATGGATCAGATTGCACAGGATGTTATTTATGTAATAATGCTGGCATCCACATGCTTACGTTCGGATCCAAAATTTAGGCCAACCATGCAGAAGGTCTCTCAGGAGTTGGCCAATCGTAGGCATTCATTTGCTCAGCCTATTGACGTATTATCACTGCATCAGCTTAAGGATCTCGGGATGTGTATAATTGGCTAATTGCCATATAATCAGTGATCATCACCACATTACCTTTGGAGATTGTCTAATTATTTTCAAGGTCTGGGCCCGGCCTTAGATTAGACTCTCACCCAAGTTCAATCACAATCCGAGCAGTCTGTCTGTCTTTGTTTCTAAAAACATCAAATGTATTACCGGAATTTTTCATTCTGAATTGTGGGGATTGAAATTATAATTTTTTTCATTTATAAAATTGTTGGTACTCTTATGTTGGAGGATTTGACCTACACCCATTTTCTATTTCCTTGGTAGGTGTGTTGTGTTTGCCATCAATGCCATTTTTCAAACTATATCACATCAGTGCCGGATCAGAAATCAGTTTTTTGAGAAAAGGTTCGCTGTTTGGTTAGCCTTTTTTTTTGAAAAAAGCATTTTTCATATCATGCCTTGAAATTGGGATCTCCCTTTTAATCAAATAGAAAAAGGTAAAATATAAAAGCCTCATTTGAAGTTTCTCACAATCATAAAAACCTCCTTGAGGTTTTACTTTAACAAAAATCTCCCCTGAACTGTTTGCACAGCATACAATGCGGACCCAATAGGGACATCGCGTGGAGCAGAAGCCGGCATGCAATGCGGGCCCAATGGCATAGCCGCACGTGGCGACCTCAAATGGCTGCGCATGCAAGGTCGAGCTATATGCACCCACCTACCTCCTAGCGACCTCAAGTATAAATAGGGGATGACCCCCCCATGGTGAACACACACACTAAGAGACTCTACTACTAGGAGTTCTACTACTTCCATTGCGACCTCATCTAAGCTATCCTAATTCAGGCCTCATCCATCCTCACCATACTTTCACTAACTTGATCGCCAGAGCCTCCGCCTCAGGTTAGCATCCGGGAACTCTGACGTTATCTCTTCCTACGTAAGACTGATTTGTAGGACCTGAGCCACTGCAAACCTCAGACTCATCAACCAGCCCTCAGCTTGGAAGCGTAATTACCATGTTGCCCTCATTCCATCCAAGGAAACAACAACAATTAGCATTGTATGTGGGAACGATTGTTAAGACTTCCCCTAACTGGACTTGAACCTAAAAACTTGTCTTAAAATCAACCTTTAGGCTTCTGCCAAGATGGAAAGAAACACTACAAATGCTCAAAACTTGGTCACGATGAACCAATTCAAAGCGGTCTTCAATTGGCTCAACAATTCAAAGCGGTCTTCAACCAATTCAAAGAAACACCAGCAGCGCCCGACAGAAGGCCACCCACAGGGTAGCTGCCCCGCTAGGAGCCCAAGGCGCCATAGCGAACAATCATTTCCAAACTCGTTGGCTATATGTCCCATCGGCCCCAACAGGACCAACCCTTAGAGTCCAACAGTAGTTGACGCATCAGTCAGCCGCCGACAAGGGAACAACTCAGCATAGTCTCGCAATCACCGTCGAGACCAAGGATATCGCTACCGATAGGAAAGCCCCCGGGATGAAGGTAGGTAGCCAAGCCACCACAACCTTCCTTCGAGGGTCGAGGGCCAATTCCAAACCTCTCCCTCTTATATCTCGAACCTCCGAGGGCTCCTAAATGACCAGCACATTAGAAGGAATCGAAACACACCTGTATCGGAGTACTCGAGGAACAAGGTCGACCCATTCTGTGTCTAGGAGAACTAGGATGAGGCTCAAGCCCCCATCGACCAAAAGATCGTCGACTTATAAGCGGATCTTGGCGCCGTCAAAGATGAACTCTGCTTGGTTAGGAAAAGTCGAGCTGACACCTTGGCAAGTCATAACCCATCATTCGAGAAGATGGACGCCTTCACCACTGACATCACATCGGAGCCTCTCCCACAGCACTTCAAAGCTCTAACACTCGAGATGTACAGCAGAACCTCGGACCCGAACGACCACCTGGAAAGCTTCAAGGCACTCATGCTCCTCTGTGGGTATTCCGACACCTTGACGTGTCGGACCTTCCAAGTGACCTTCAAGGGGGAAGCCAGCCAATGGTTTTTCGGGCTCTCCCCTAGATCCATCAACTCATGGGAGCAATTCGCCAGTCTCTTCCTTTCCCACTTCATCAATAGCCAACGGTGCAAAAAGAGCGTCATGTCACTCATGATCGTTCAACAAAAGTGTGGTGAGAGCCTGCAAGCCTACTACATCAACCACTTCAACAATGAGGAACTTGAAGTTCGAGACCTCGACCCCATGGTCTCCATGTACGTCGCCATCAATGGCCTCCTGCTAGGCTCGGCCCTCAAATGCTTTGTGGCCAAGACACTGCCCAAATCCAAGGCGGAGTTCCTTAAGAAATCCTAGAAGTACATCAACACTGAGGAGGCCTCAACCAGTGACCGCCAGGAAGGAGAGGCCAACCATCACAGCGGAGGCCCAGAGAATAAGAGGATAAACGGAGACAGCCACAATGGCAACAACAACAACAACAACAACAAGGAAAACAAAAAGCCATCGACCTTGGCCCTAGCTTATAGCAAATACACACCACTCAACTCCGCTCGAACACAAATTCTCATGCAAGTAGTGAAGGAAAAGTACGTGAAGTGGCTTGAGAAGATGAAGAGGAACCCCAAGAAGGGTAACCCAAAGAGGTACTACAAGTACCACCGCGGCACCGACCACGACACCGAAGATTTTTACGACTTGAAGACTGAGAATGAATCCCTCATCCGCTGTGGCCACCTGAAGGAATATGTGGGTGGTGAAGCCAACGCCTCATCCTCACAACAATAATAGTAGCCGCAGTAGTTAGCTAGCATCATCGATGTCATCATTGAGGGCATGGCCTCGGATGGCATCTCGGCCTCGGCCCAAGAAGTCGAAGTAGAACAAAGCCCTCACCTTTACGGATGCAGACCTAAAGGGGATCCCGGTCCCCCATGACGATACTTTTGCTATCGTTACGAAATTACATGGTGAACAAATTATTGGTCGACAGCGGTTCCTTAGTCGACATCCTCTTCTATGACACCTTTGAGAAGAAGAAGTTGGCACCCGAGCGCCTTCGGCCTGACAACGTGCCACTCATTGTCTTCTCCGGGAATGTTGTCAAACCAAAGGGATCACCCTACCAGTCATGGTAGGGATAGAACCCTAGCAGGTGATGAGGATGAATGAGTTCCTAGTTGTGAAGATTGGCTCCCCTACAATGCTATCATTAGGTGGTCAACCCTCTACGCGCTCAAGGCAGTCATTTCCTTTTACCACCTTGCTCTCAAGTTCCCCACCGAATACGGCATGAGAGTCGTCTGGGGGGATCAACAAACTATCTACTAGTGCTATGTGGTAGTACTAAAGGGCAAGAAAAAAGAAGCTTTATCATTAAAGGGCCTCAACCTCAGGGAGGAACCAACAAGTTCAGGACCTCATCTCAGTGCCCCTAGACGAGGCCAGGTCCAAGAAAATGGTACGCATCGGGACCGACCTTCCCCCAAACAACCTTTTTGAGTTGGTAAGTTTCCTCAAAGCTAATCCCGACGTCTTTGCTTGGTTTGCCAATAACGTGCTTGGAATTGACCCTTCAGTCATTACTCACAGGTTGAGCATAAACCCAAGCTCTAGGCCAGTTTGGCAGAAGAAGATGAACTTTGCATCAAAGTGATGGAAATCCATCGGAGAGGAAGTTGATAAGCTACTCAATGTCGGCTTCATTCGAGAGGTACATTACCCTAATTGGTTGTGCAATGTGGTTGTGGTAAAGAAACCTAATGGGAAGTGGTGGATCTGTATTTTCACAGACCTCAATCAAGCCTACCCCAAAGACAGTTTTCCTTTGCCGAGAATCGACCACCTCATCAACACCACTGTAGGGTACGAGCTATTCAGCTTTATGGACACCTTCTCCGGCTACAATCAAATCAAAATGCACCCGGAGAACGAGGAGATGGCCTCGTTCATCACGAAGCATGGCATGCACTATTACAGGGTAATGCCCTTCAGCTTCAAAAACGCAGGAGCTGCCTATCAACGGCCAATAACAAGGTCTTCAAGCACCAAATGGGGTGAAATGTCAAAGCCTATGTAAACGACATGGTTGTGAAGAGCTTAAATGCTGACCAACAAACATTGGACTTAGTCGAGACCTTTGACACCTTGCGGAAGTATAAATGAAGCTCAATCCCAGTAAGTCTGCCTTCAATGTCACCTCGGGTAAATTACTAGGCTTCATCGTCACGTAACAAGGTATAGAGGCCAACCAAGAGAAGATTTAGGCTATCCTTGACATGTCACCACCTCGGTCAATCAAGAAGACTTAGAGACTTACCAGCCGAGTGGTCATCCTCAGTCAATTCATGTTGAAATCAATTAACCGTTGCCTACCTTTCTTCCAAGCCATCAAAAAACTGAAGGACTTCTAGTGGACATAAGAGTGCTAGTGTGCCTTTGACGAGGTAAAGTCTTATCTCGACTTGCCTCCCCTATTTACTCGGCTGCTCCAAGGAGACATGCTGTACCTATAACTCTCAGCTGAAGATGAAGTAGACAACTCTATTTTGATAAGAGAAGTTGGAGTGCAAAGGCCTACCTACTACATTAGCAATGTCCTCGGTGACACTGAAACCCGCTACCTCAAAGTGGAGAAATTGGCCTTTGCCTTAGAGGTCTCAGCCAGGAAGCTTAGATTGTACTTCCAAGCCCATAATATCATGGTCTTAACCAACCAGCCCCTCAAGACCGCTCTTGCTAAGACAAAGACTTCTGGGCAGCTGACCAAATGGGTCATCGAATTGTCTAAGTTCGACTTACAGTACCAGTTGAGGCCTACAATCAAAGCGCATACCCTAGCTGACTTCATAGCAGAATGCACCTTCAATTGACCCCTCATTCAAGCCCCTGAAGAGGTGGAGGGGCCCTGACCAATCGAAGGACCTCGGCCTACCTAGAAGTTGTTCATTTACAGATCCTACAACTCCAAGGGAAGTGGAGCAGGTCTCATACTCCTTACCATAGACAACACCAAAGTAGAATATGCGTTTGTGGTTTGACTTCTTGGCCTCCAATAATGAAGTCCTACTCGTAGGCCTACGACTCACCAAGGACCTTGATTCTCAACACATTGAAGTCTTGAGTGACTCCCAACTAGTGGTGAACCAAGTTAAAAGTGAGTACGAACCTAGAGAACACAACATGGCCAAGTACCTAGCCAAGGTGCAAAAGCTCACCTGCCACTTCCAACACTTTATTTTACTACAAGTCCCCTAGCCAAAGAACATGAGGGTTGATGCCCTATCCAAATTGGCCAACACCTTG